AGGGGACGAGAGCATTAAAATTCAGACATTTTTGGACCACCCTAATGCACATATGTACGTATTTGAAAAATTTTAAAAGTTTGGCTCATCTTTGCAGGCGTTGAAGATTGGGGTATCGGTTTACTTATACAAAAAAAGCAAATCAGCAAGATGATTTCATCTTATGTAGGCGAAAATAAGGAACTGGTACGACAATACTTGGCCGGTGAACTGGCCATTGAGTTGACACCACAAGGAACTATTGCCGAGAAGATTAGAGCTGGCGGCGCTGGTAAAAGCACAACATAAAAATATTTAAAATTTATTTGAATGTTATATATTCGCCACAGGCATTCCGGCATTTTTTACGCCCACCGGATACGGTACCCTTGTACAAAAAGGAGGCGCCCCAATTAAATATACAAATGACGGAAAAATCGCAGTTGCTAGTAAACCCAAGCAGGTGCAAACGTTTAATGGAAAGGACTACGTTATGGAGGAATCTATTTTTGCCGATTATGCAGTCGTAAAGGCTTATAAGGCTGATCCTTATGGAAATTTGGGTCAGTAATCCCAACTTTATCGTTAGCTTAGTGTGAAAAGTTGCTAAGTCCAGTTTTATTTTTTTTATTTTATGAGGGAGAATAAAAACCTTGAAAACTTAAGCTAAACCAAGCTAAAGCAAATCCAAACGAATCAAACTTCACAATGTTGATGAACAGTTTTTGTATTCTTTCGGACTTATCACTTTTTTGTGACTATTTTGGGCTTAGCAAATTTGCATATCACTGAACGGTAACGGTTAGAAAGTAAATGGGTAGTTCGATCTTTTAAAAAACGATTCATTTTTAATTTTGCTTGTTTTTTGCATCAAAATATATTTTTTTTAGAAAAAGTGGACTTAGCAACTTTTCACTCTAAACCAGCTTTATGTAGCACAAATTAAATTTTAATCTATTTTTTTAGTATTTAACAAGTCAGCAAGGAATTTCAACGCACCAATGTGTCGCGCTGCTAAAACAACTATTGTTGAGGTAGAAGATATTGTACCTGTTGGTGCGTTAAATCCGGATGAAATTCATATTCCAGGAATTTATGTGGATCGGATCATTAAAGGCGTTAACTACCGCAAAAGAGTGGAACGCTTGCGGCTGCGTGAAAGCAGTGACAGCGCCTCGAAGTCTAGTCCAGGTCAGGAGTTACGGGAGCGCATTGCGAAACGCGTAGCTTTGGAATTCCGTGATGGCATGTACGCCAATCTGGGTATAGGAATGCCAGTTTTATCTGCTAACTATATACCTAAAGGCATCAATGTTATGTTGCAATCGGAAAATGGCATATTGGGCTTGGGACCATTCCCAACAAAGGAGGAAGTTGATCCCGATCTAATTAATGCCGGTAAAGAGAGTGTAACTGTTGTGCCTGGAGCGGCATACTTTGGCTCTGACGATAGTTTTGCTATGATTCGTGGTGGACATGTAGATTTAACGATACTTGGAGCTATGGAGGTATCCGCTACTGGTGATTTGGCTAATTGGATGATACCGGTAAATAGTAAACGTCTCATATTTGTGTTTATTAAACATTTAATGTAATCACTCTTTCGATTGCTACTAGGGTAAACTTGTGAAAGGCATGGGAGGCGCCATGGATTTAGTGGCAGCACCTGGCACAAAAGTCATTATAACAATGGAACATAATGCGCGAGACGGTTCACCAAAAATATTAGACAAGTGCACTTTGCCTCTAACTGGGCAAGGCATTGTTGATATGATTATTTCGGAAAAGGTTTGTTACTAATTTATAAGGTGATGATGTGCTTGTATAACTTTTTTTACATTTTGTAGGCTGTCTTTACCGTGGAAAAAGGCGTTGGCTTAACATTAACAGAAATCGCTGATGGTTATTCAGTGGAAGACCTACGTTCCTGCACTGGTGCTCAATTTGAAGTTTCTTCGAACCTTAAAAAGATGGCTCAAATCGAGTAAAATTTGAATTTTTTATGTGAATCAAATATCGTCACCTGAAATGCAAAATGGCGTAACTAGCAAAAAATCCAAAATATTCTTATTGATTGATTATTATGCATTTCATCGAATTACAAGTACACACATCGTTTTATGCAAACAAATTATTTGTTAGGGCTATTTGTATTTCAGGCGACGATAAGCAGGCACATAAGTAAGTAATTTAATTGTTTTTGAGTGTAAATATGTACTTATGTAATGTAATTATGTACTTTGTAAGAATTGAATTAAGCAAAGTAACTAAACTTGAAAGTGATATCATTGCATTTATTTTAGTTGGTAAAAAATATTTCTTATATGCTCGTTTTTACTTAAATGATATGTGAAAAGAAAATATATATTCTTATACTCAAGTCGAAAAATATATTTAGATTGAATTTGAGTTTGGGATTGGTGGAAATAGCTCAACAAATAGAACGCCAAAAAGTTATGTCAATCGTATAGCTTAGGCAAGGTCAATGAGGCTAGCCATGGACACGGATTTAAATAGGTTGCTTCCCATAACTTTTTATTTAGTTGAATTCATTGCGAGTATAACTAAATTCAGGAATAAAATGTTCAAAGACACACCAGCGTCCATTTCTACAACAGCCGTTTTTAGGTAGCGGGATTGGATGGGATTTTCCCGACCAAGAGCTGTTGTTTCGGCGGTCGAACACTGTTTAATAATGGCTGGCATTGCGTCCAACCACGGTCCACATACGTATGTATCTATTTCTGCTCAGTATGCCTTATACGTCCCTATCAACTCTAAGCAACTCGCCAAAGCAAACTAGCAACCAAGGAGTAACAAATACACAGCGACCCTGTTGACTTACCTCGTTGATAATGTGCTACGTTAGGTTAGCAAGCAAAACAATGGTGAAGGGCTAGCCTTAATACTACACCATAACGTGCAGTATCGCCGAAGAAGATATCGACCGCAGACATACTTAGATCACCATCAACTTGAACAAATATGGTTGGAACGCCTTCACAGAAGTTACTGAGAGCACCTTCCGCGCTCGTTATAACCTAACAGACGATCATGTTCGCGAGCATCAGTAAAGTAAAGTAGTCACTGCTTCAGCATCTCGCCTTATCACGTTCGGATGCTTAGCGAAAATGCGTCCCAATTCTCCAGCTGAAGCGGTTTACTACAACAAGGGAGCATTATCGATCGATAACGCTCCTATCCTCCATAGAAAAGGTTCTTAAGGCCTTATTACGCCGCCTCCACGGAACCTCCATTGAGGAATGTTAGATAGCATCTCTATAGAATGAAGGACGAGATCCTGGATTATGTACAAAAACTACTGGACCCGACACTGTACATATAGGAAATCAGCGACGTCCACCCATTGTATACGAAAAGCTTCAGCTGCCTCGAGAGACCCGCGTTAGTCTGAAACAATTCTTTTTATTTTTAGTTGTGACATAATCGTTTGTCGGTTTGAGCCGAGACCAAAAAGCTTCTCCAATTGACTCTCTCCTTTGCGCCAGTTGCTCACCTCGAGTGCAGATAGGTCCTTCGGCCGCGCTTCAAAAAATAACTCAGACCAAATATCTATGCCTCGACGTCCTGCACGCGGGTAGGCCATCTTGTATTAAATTATTCTTCAGCCAGTGCTTACAAGAAGATAACGGAGTGCCCGAATCTTGATCAGTGCTGATTGCTAACAGTAAGGTGCTTTTCCTTGCCAGCTCATCTGCGACACAGTTGCCCGGTACATCTCCACGGTCTGGCACCCACCAGAAAACATGAGTGAGACGTATCTCCCTGCCAGCTTATTTAAAGTACGTCTACATTCCATGACAATTCCCGATACCGATTTGTCACCGATTTATATAACAGAAAAGATAGCCACTGCTTGCGAATCAATAGAAGAATCAATCAGCCATCTCGCAGCTTCGTTGATTTCTGTAAGTTTAGTCTGAAAAACGCAACAGAGCTCTAGAAGATGGAAGCTGAGGCCAAGTGAGAGTTATTGTGAGCATACTCGACTTCCTACCTAACGCAGTAAGAGAACAGGACTGAATCCTCCTCCCATTAACCCCCTGAGGAGATCCTTGTTTGGAAATGATTCCTCTGTCCAGTGGGCGGGACTGTGTCGCCCAGGCGCCTGAAGACTTATAGTGTCCGAATCTCGTATCACTCCACTTGATCAGTGCGTTTAGTCAAATAACATTACAGCCTGCCTGTAGTTTACCATATACATAGGACCACAGGCAGGGAAGCAAGGTCTCTGTGACTTTTAGGACAGCGGCGCCGTGATTGTCATGCAATCGATACCAGACGGATATCCTGGCAACACACAAAGAGCAAATAAAGGACCTGGTTTTTTGCTCTTCGTAGGCATACTGTACGGCTATTAAATAAATTTAAAAATTTGTATGGTGCGAGACCTTTTTACTTTATTAAAAATCGAGCTTTAAAAGACAAGACAAATCCAAAAGCTTAGCTTATAACCTTGCTCACATCTTTGAGGGTCTTCGATTGGCTGGCTTCGCGCATTTGCTTATTTAGCGTTTGAAATATTTCGATGTTCATTTCACTCTCACAACGACAAAGCGCACAAAATTGAGATGTCAACAAATTCAACGGACTGCGGAAGTAGAATAATTTGCTCGGGTTCAATGAGTTCTTCTTGTGTGCCCAGTAGTGTAAAAATCCCTCAATCGCAAGTAACCAGAAAGTGAATTTGAAGCAAATTATTGTTGGTATGAGAAACAGTAGATACGTCTCCTTGCTATAGCCCAAGAGAATATCCTGTAGAATATTTTTTTTTTTCACAAAACGTAAATATGTTTAAAGAAGATGTGAAATAAATGTACTTAGTTAACTACGTTACATTTTTCACGCCATCCATATTTATGAAATCTTCCTTTTTATATTGTTTGTTACACTTCTCGGCAGGTTTGTTTTCAGTGGGAATCGGCTTTACATGAATATCCATTTGAGGATACTCGCCATGGTAGAGACTGGTCATTGTTTTGTCGATTTCCTCGGTATTGGTGCCTCGTAGGTATTGTTTGGGAATTTGAAAATTGTCATGTTTGACGTACCGAATCTTTACTTTTGTGCCGTTTAGAGGCTCACCGGTTTCTCTGTCAAAAATTTGACGTTTTATTGAGCAGCGGTGTTGATATATATGGTCCGTTTCACCGGTTTCGGAGTTCTAAAAGTAGAAAAACAAAGTTTGATTGTGACTTTAATAACATGGTTGCTTTTTACTTGCTAAAAGTATGGACATGTATCTAATAAATTAGCCCCCAGTCGATGTCTCACCACCTGAATATGGCGTGGTACGAATAGCAATTACGCGGCTGAAAAACACAAAAGCTGCTGGAGCTGACTTCGACTTTGTTCATTTGAAACCAGCGTTAACACCAATAATATTGTAAGCCTTGAACTCCAACGGAGAATCACTCTTGCCAACAAGTGCTACTTTGGACTAACTAGGCAATTGAGAAGTAAAGTCCTCTCTTCGTACAAAAATCACACTCTATAAATCCCTCATATCTCATGCCTAAGATGGTGTATGGCGCATGGATAATTAAAACCACTGATTAAGCGGCTCTTAGAGTTTCTGAGAGAAAGATTTTGCGGAAGATTTACGGGCTTTTACGCGTTGGCGATGGCGAGTACCGCAGACGATGGAATGATGAGCTGCATGAGCTTTACAACGGCATGGACATAGTGCAGGGAATCAACATACAGCGGCTCCGCTGGCTCGGTCACGTCGTTCGAATGGACACCGATGCTCCATCTCAGAAAGTATTCAACTCGTAACCCGCTGCTGGTAGCAGAGGAAGAGGGAGGCCCCCACTGCGATGGAAACACCTGGTGGAGAAGGACTTCTGTCTTCACTTGGCATTTCCAAGTGCCGTCAGATGGCGCAGAAGAGAAACGACTGGCGTGCTTTACTGGACTCGGCCAAAATCGCTTAGGCGGTTACAGCGCTAAATAAGAAGAAGAAGAATAAAATGCAAGTGCAAGATGCTGCTCAAACTTACTTTGTATGAACAAATGCTTAAGGCGGCAAAAAAACAAAAATTAGCGGTAAGTCCTAGCTACATACTTTAAACTTTCACTTTATTATACTAAAATGTAACATTTTTTTAACAAATTTTGCGGGTTAAAAATCTCGAGTGCAAAGTTCGAAGTTATAAAAAAATATCCTACGAATTTTTGATGATACTATAAGGATGCTGTTACAGTGTCAAAACATCTAGGATCATAGAAGAAGGTTTTGAGATCTGTTGGCTTTTTGTGAAAAAATTAGCAAAATTATTTTTTGTCCCGTAATCGGCATCCATAAATATGGTCACCGTAGATATGATTTACTTTTTTTCTCAGTGTACTCTCCACAGTGAATCTTCTCTTTTATCATAAAAAATATTCATCCCGATGGCTACGATGACTTGGGCAAAATTTCAACATGGTATGCCCACGGCTGGCGTTGTTTACTGGACTTGGCCAAAACCGTTTAGGTGGTTAAAGCGCAAATCAGGAAGAAAATTAAGTAGTTTTATAGGTAGTAGTTAAATATCTATTCTAAGGGCCGGTTTCTCAATGTCTGGTTAACACAAATCGGAGGTAGATGCTCCGATTAAATACAGCGACTGTTTTATCGATCACATGTTTTATGAGTCGAAAACGTCTATAACGATGTTAAACTGGGAAGTAATGATAGCCAGATATTGAGCACACGGCCCTAAAACTGATCAATTATTTCGTTAACAGCTACCATGATCACGCAATGGCGATTCCCTATATTATTAATTCATATCGCTCACTCTAAATTTAACTCAGATAAATACGTAAAATATGTGCATGCATGTGTAGGTATGTATGTATGTATGTACATATGTATATATACATATATCAAATCAATAAAGATAATGGTTGATCGCTGTAAATTACATATGTACATACATAGTTGTAAGAAAAGTTGTAAATATTAGGGTATTCCATACATACAAAAGTAATATGTATGTATATGGTTTTCTTATATTCGAACTCAATCAACTTTAATAGTTGATAAGATACCTTTTTAATTAAAAATAATATTCTAATAACATCAGAATATGATATGAACATTGATTAATCAGACATTTATGTAAGTACATAAACCATGGATGTCCAACCTTTTTTCCTTGCACCTCATTGGAAGAAGGCATGTTATTTTCGGCAACAAGTTCATTATCATAGACCAATAACCAACTTTGTATTTAGCACAAATGTATATATAAAGATATTTTTTGGAGGTGAGGCAGCATTGATGTAAACCAGGCCTACCCAACGCTGGCAGAGCTCCATTGGAAGTGCAAAAGTTCTGCCTGCGATAGACATGGCGCACATTGTGACGATCCGGTATACATATATTGCGGCCAAAAATAGAACGGGCCGTCGTAAAGAAATGACGTCAACGTCAACGGACACGCCCACTTTCCATATACATATGCAGAAAATAAAAATGTCTCCAACTTTAATAATAAATATTTGAGATATAATAAAAGTTAAAATCTAGGCGGATGTAATGGATGCCTACAACTGAAATAAAAATGGGCCCAGTCGACATAATTCAAGGCCTATCGTAGCATATTCTAAAAATTTTAAATGTGATTACTTTATTCCAAAATATATACTACCCACTTCGAACTACATATATAAGTTTATCTCATTAAGTCTAACTGTCAATACTAGCGAAGATATGTGAAATAGCAAGAATGATACAAGATTGTGCCGTCTTGGCGGCGATGACATTTGTATACTACAAGTAGGGCTTCGTTTACGTGTAAACCAGAATTGTCAAAATCGGACAAAAACCAAAGTAGCTGTATCTCGGCAGGCGCCACCTTTGTTCGCCGTATCGTGGTGAAATAGGGGTAAAACCACCCCTGCTTACCATGTAACCGGTGGTTTTCGGAAAGCTGAAAAAACTATACTTAATACGTGCGCCGGGTATTTAATGTTCGGCTTCGCCCGAACTTAAATTTATTTACTTGTTTTTATAAAGATATGTTTTAATCGTTAACAAAAAGCGTATAAATCCAAATTTCTATTAAAAAAAATAGCAAACTTTCGTAAAAATTTAAAGCTCCATCCAGGATTTCTTAGAAACCTTTTGAGTATACAGTCACGTGGTCCATTCAATTATATTTGTTTTATTTTTGTTGCAAAAATAACATAAAAATCATCTTTGTATAGCAGAGACACCGTCAGCAAAAAAAAAACATGTGCAAAAAACAACGGCAAGTCCCAGACGTCTTCATATCGAGTTTTTGTTGTTAAAATACAAAAACCGTTACTCATGCTGTTTGTTCATCTTTTAAGTTTAAAATTTACAGAACAGATGTATGTATTTACTTTTTAAAAATGGCTTAAACAAATAAAGCAAGTGTAAGAAATCTAAATACAGTCATTTTATACGCAAAAGTTTAAAAAAAGGTGAAAAAAACTAATATCGTGAAAAGGTAATTTTTCATTTAAAAATGCGACCCATGGTTCCTTCTATACATTCACTTAGAATTATCTACAGAATCAGGAAATGCCATGCAAATTCTTGAAATTTAAGCAGCCTAATTTACATATACATATGTGTGTTGCAGGGATCTAACCTAGGCACTACCGGCTCTAACAAGTCGTCTGCGATGGTCGACGTATTTAGTGGTTTTTATTTATTGACAGCTTTTAATTAATACTTTTTCATCTGTAAAAGTGCCGAAAAAAGTACAAAATCAACAATAACGTGTATACGCATAGCGCATACCAACTTCAAAAAGGGTACAGCGAAAAAAAATTTTGGTAGATTTGTATGCATAAATCAATTCGTAGGATTTATCTTCAATTCATGCAAAAATTTTTTCTTCATGATTAAATGTATTTTCTAACTAGACAACTACGTTATACCCGTTTTTGTATTAATTGCGTTGACTATGTACCATTTTTATTTTGAAATGCCAAAACCAAACCGAAAACCACTCCAAAAAATGGTTCGGTTCGGTTCAAAATCCACTAAAGCATTTTACAAGTGTTGTAATACACAACTTTGTCAGAAAATGCAACCCTATGGTAAAACCGCAAACATTTTTGAGTTTAATGGCATCTCTGGGAGTTAAAATTTAGTCTATATAAAAAATGCTTGAAATGTTTTTATATGGAAGAAAATGCATATCACCGCCAGCAAAAAAAGCTAAAATCCGTGAAAAAGTTAAACATTTTTCCTAGAAATTCTTATTAAAAAGTTTACAATTTAGATGAAACTTTAAAGAATCTTCATAATTTTTGCACAAAGCTTTAAACTTGGACTTGTTCAGTTTTTGGTAGACGACGGACTATACTTAAATCGTTAAAATTTTGCGTCCCTATTTATTTTTCTACCACTATAAATGTGGATATTTGAATTTGATCTCTATAACAAAGCCTTTTGTATATATATGTACATTAAAGTGGTCCAATAATGTATGTAAAAAAATAAGGTCGGATTTTTAATACCGGCACCCCCTTGGATTGTTCTATATCGAAAGAAATATACCCCTATTTTTTATTTTGAAATCAAAAAATATTTAGGGGGTGCTCAAAGCGCTCAAAGTTTTCCATGTATTTTATATGGAGAAAAACCATTTTTCGTAGAAATGGTATAAAACTCTTAAAAATCAATATTTTTC